TCAAATGCTTGTGAGACCTATGCTTATCATTGTCAAGTCTATTAAAGAGCGCCTGTAAAGTTTTTATAGGTTGGGAGTAATGCAAATCTAATCAAGCAAGTAAGGTTCTTAATAGTGTTATTTTCCCTTGCTGAAAATGTCAAAGTTCCCTGTGAGCATTCTTTATGTTATAGTGAGGGGTAAAACATAAATAATAAGCAACCTTAAACTCATCTATAGTAGACACTACTGATTTCTTGTTTGCAATATGAAACTCCTCAAGTTAATTCCACCATCAAAGACTTGCATCACACAAACCTTTAAAATAGCCATTAACATCTGGAGTTCCTCTACCAACCAAGAACTTCTTCATATTAGCTAACCAAGCTAAACATTTGTTCACACCATTATCACTGGAAAAAGTTGAAATCTTGAGTTAATCCACCAAGAAAGTTTTACTTGGATCACCATCACTACTAGCTTCAAGTCCCTCAACACACTTGTTAGCCATTATGCCATACATTGCCTTTTGCATGTTTTGTTGATTTTTATTGAAGGTTCCTAGTTTATGAATAACATCATAGATAGTCTAAACCTTTGTAACTCTATCAACATCACCATTAACACTACTATCAACAATAAAATTCCAACATTCATCTTGGTTAACCATTGCAACCAACTCCTTTAATACTAATGTTATAATCTTGTGCTAAATAACAAAGGCAAAGAGGTCAACTAGACTATGTTATACCTTTTTTTAAGGTTCCTCACCACTCAACCACCCCAAGTTACCTCAAAAGCTCCACCACACCACCACTCAATTGTGAGCCCCTTAAGTTAAAGAAAAGATGATGGAAACTTCAACTTATAGTCAAGCATAAAAATCTCTAAACTTTAATAGCTGTTAGGCAACAATATAAATTTAGGGTAAAGCATTTTTTTTCAATAACTATTATTTAGGAAGTCAACTATTTTATTGATATATGGCACATATTTTAATTATAAAATTATTCAAAAGTTGGCAACTCAACAGCTAGTTGATGGTTTAAATACTACTCCATCACCCCTTATATTTAAGCCATCTACTATTGAAAGTAAGCAACAATATCTTCCATTTCTAAAGGTGGCAACATATCAAGGTGAAAGTCTTGGTCATTTTGGCCTTTGTGAGGCTGAGATAAAGTTGACATTAGAAGTCATATATTATCACCTTCATAGACAACTGTTGTCAAATTTTTAACAGGGAAAACTGAGGCTTTGTATGAGTTTAAACTTTATTGTGCCAAAGCTTTCAAGTATTTTCACTCAGATGGTTGTGAAGAGTATATGTTACAAGCTTTTCTGAATTATTAGATCAAACACTAATTCACTATAGTTTATACTCCACAGTACAATGAAGTAGGTGAGCATATGAATTGAACTTATTGAGACTAGATGTACTATGCCTTATGTTGCTAGATTGCCTAAAAGTTTCTAAACTCTACAACACTATGTTCTTACTACTGCCGTAAAAGGATCAACCCTCTCTGTCAATTTCGTTGTATTGCCTATGCTAGTAAACTTTGGCTCAAGTTTGATTCAAAAATACAAAAGTCTATTTTAATGAGATATAGTTTTGATATTAAAAATTATTTCTTAAGCTAAATATTATTTTCAATGAGTAACATGTTTCTAAGAGTTGATATTTCTGGTCAACTATAGTCAACAGAGTCTGCATCTGAGGATGCAATTGATGATGATTCATCACAATTGTGATGAATCAATGAATTTTGACTCTGTTGACTATAGTTGACCAGCAATATCACCATCAATTGCCACACACACCACATCTTCAAGGAGCACAACTCCATGTTATGACATCAACTACCAACTCAGTAGTCCATGCCATATGAACATATTGCACCAAATCCCTATCTCCCCAAGGAATGGTAGGAAGTTGTTATCAGAGGTGGTCATATTATCTACAGTTGCAAAGGACATGGAAAACATCCTCAACTTGGGAAAAGTTGCAAACTTGGCAAAGGTGAAGATAAACTCAAAGCCCATCTCAACATAGGTGGTGCTTATCACATCTGTATGTGGCAACATTGACCTTAGACCAACTCGGCCATCTCAACTTCTTGTTTAATATTAATCTCGTGCCAACTTTCACGTAAATTTATTCATCGTGACAAAATTTGTAACAAAGATACAAAGATCTTGTCATGGAAAGCTTGTGTCAATCCTGTGATGGATGGGTTTGCGACCAGTCGGAGCGTTTCTCTCCGGCTCAACATTTATCATCTCGTTCTTGTCACCACGATTGATCGCGAGCGTGTGCGGAAATACCGATCCCTCACCAGCAGAGAGGGAATCCGGGAACAAAGATGGAGCTGGATGCCCGTTCCTGATCATCGCTTTCTGGCAGGCCAAAGACGAGGAGAGCTCTTGAGGCGGTGGAGGAGTGGGACCAGCGAAGCCATTGTAATGGGGATCACAGTAATCATCAAACATGGGACCGATGCTTTGTGGAGCCGGAGACGCACCGATTTGCCCCGCGTCGTCCTTCGCAATGCTGCCCTGGTACTGCTTTGGGTCGGATACGGTGCCGCTTGGAACTTCTCTTGGCTCATGCTTCACAAGCTCAGCGCCGGTTTGAAACAACTTTCTGGGCACTCCTCGCTCCTGATGGAGGCAAAATCGTTTAACACAGAGCCATTCCCTGGTTAGAAGACAGAAAAGAGAGATTTATCATTGAAAGCCTTGCCTTGGGACCAAGAAGAGAGCGATCGAGCGATGCAGTCGCAGTGGAAGCGGTCGCAATAGAAGCGCCCAGAAGCAGCATTGAGACGATACTGACAATCGTGAACATCTTTCTCCGGCCATGATCATCAGAAAGAGAATGAGAAGGAAAAAAAATCTCTCTAGCAAGCGGTGTTTAGCATGGCTGCTTGGAGAAAAGCCACTTGTGTGTGCTTCACGTCGATTATCTTCGACCATGGATTGATCTCAGTCGCTCAGGATAGTTTGGGAGAGCTCAAGATCTGATGAACAACATGCTATTTCTCCCTCATGAGGCTCCAGCCAGAAGCTCCGTCGCCATATCCTTAGAGCAATGTTGTCCAAATTGCTATTACTGTAGGGATTCACGACATTAAATACTCTCCGTTTGCTTCGGGGTTTGGATCTTGCCCTAAGAAATCAGCATAAAGTTGACAAAGAATTCTTGAGTTCAGACTTGAATGCGCGTTCTGAATGCTGCCTGGGTTGTCCAGTCCAATTGCGCGTTCTGACATGTGGATAATGCTCCAGCGATATCAACGTGCATGCTACCGCTTTACAAATGTACTTCCAATGGATCCTAAGTTATATCTCAACCAGAACACGATCCATATAAAGAAGGATACAATAGAATTATGAAATCAAAGTTCTCTCCCGAGTACAAATCAATCATGGAGCTACCCAAAGTCCACTCAAATCACAATGCAGCTAAGTATGTACCAAGAACATAGAAAAGTGCAAGTGTGTATGTGTGTCTAGTGTGCGTGAGGAGAGAGCAAAAATTGAATGATATACCTGAGAGGTGGTACCACCACCATCACCACCAAAGAGAATTTCCATTTCCATCCATCTCCTCCCTGTGATCCATCCCCAAAATCTCCAAAAGAATCGGACACTACCAAAGAAGAGCAAAGCCCACAATCGAGCTCCCTAGCAGCAGTGTCGAGGCAAGAATTCGAGGAGCGCTGGATTGGTCCGAGGCAGATCCAGGCGACCTGGTGGATGCGGGAGTGGCAGCCGCGAGACCGGGAGCCGGGGCAAGGATCGGTGCTGGAGCCACTGGAACTGGCGCTGGAGCTGGGACCGTGCCTGGCGGAGGAGCTGGGGTGGGAGCTTGCGGAAGAACTCCATTGGGAGTGAGTGGCTTGTCCACCTCCACAATGCTGAGGTTGTAGCCGATCTGCTTGACGCTCTTGACGATGGTGGTGTTGGATCCGGACATGACGATGTCGAGGCCGGCCTTGGTGTTGGTGAGATTGGCCGTGCCGTCCTGCCCGGGGGCCTTGCCGGTGGTCTGGTAGAGCGACGTGATCTGCTGATCCTCGTTCTTCACGGCGGGATTGATGTATGTGAGGAAGATGTGGACGCGGATGATGTCGATGAGCTGCTTCTCAGTGGCGGTCTGGCCCAGGCTGCCGCGGAGCTGATCGATCTTGGAGTTGGGAATAACAGCGACGGTGATGGAGTTTCTGGTGTTGACGTCGCTGGCGAGGCCGGATTTCGTGAGCAAATCGTTGAACTCGGAGTAGTCGGGTTCTTTCTGGAGCTCCTCGGTGACGTTGAATGCCGCGGCGGTGGCCGCGACGGCGAGGAGAAGCGCCATAGCTAGCGGGATCTTCATCTTGCCGAAATCTGGGAAAAAGAAGAGCGCGGGGGTGAGAAATCCTCGAAATCTGGCCGGGGAATCACGAAATCTAAGCTACATTCTGGCTAGAACGCTGGAAGGGCTCCAGATCTAACCTGCATTGCTTGCAATGCAGGAGATTTGGAGGGATTTCCCAACAGCGAGAGATTACCAGATACAAGGAGACCGGAATATCGATCGATGCGCGCCGCGGAGCCGAAGAGATCCAAGTGAAGCGATAGTGCAACCCCTGCTCCTGGCTATTAAAACCCCCAAGCTCAAGAACACACGCCCTAGAAATAATAAAGTAAAGCCGACGTGTCAATTACGCTGCCGACGTGGAGGCCGTTTGCCCTGGCACGTCAGCGAATATTCGCGAATGTGTGGTGGGACGTCCACTTTGTAACCACCTAACGCTGGTGAGAATTTTTTCTCACTGGGCCAGGCTGGCATATGTTAGCTGGTCGTGACACATCCGCACGCCATTTCGACTGGGGCCCTTATATGGCGCCCTCACATTCTTTGGAGTGTCCATTCCATCCACCGGCCGCCGGGGTGAAAGGTATCGAACCGCGGACCTCTTTGCCTGGCCGGGGGATCGAGCCCGTGACCGGATCGAGAATCGACGGGCGGATGTGGTGGTGGAATCGGACGGCGATGTGGTGTGCCAGGTCACGCGCGTACTGCTCAATGCTGAGTGGAGACAAGCTGCGGGAGAGGGAGGAGGCCTAGGTAGAGGAGAGACTATGGCGGAGCACACGAGAGGTTCTAGGGTTTGATTTATTCGGGAATGGCGACGGCGAATGGCGATGCGTCGACGCTAGCGGCGGCGGCGGCGGCGGCGGCCCCGGGCGCCATCGCCCCGGCCAGCGCCGAGGATGTGGCGCTCAAGAAGAACACGGATTGCGTCTACTTCCTGGCATCGCCGCTCACTTGCAAGAAGGTATTGCGATCGATCGGGGCGAGAGTAGAGGCTTTCTGCAGTTAGGGTTTAGTGTTTTTCTGGCTGCTGGCTGGCAGCAGCCAGATCTGCCGAGCTCGAGCTGACAGGCAGCGCGTGATTTGTTTTTGCAGGGGGAAGAATGCGAGTTTAGACACAGTGAGACTGCGAGGATCAACCCCCGCGACTGCTGGTACTGGGTATCGGGGAGCTGCTTGAATCGGGATTGTCCATTTAGGCATCCGGTAAGAACTGTAGAGCTCTTGGCATCATAGCTTTAAGTGATTTTGTCCTTGTTGTTCTCTCCAGCCTTTGGAAGCTGGAAATCCGACTCCTGGACAGCAGCAGCCCGCGAGCAACAAAGGACGAACGCCGTGCTACTTTTTCATCCAAGGATACTGTGCGAAAGGCGATCGATGTCCCTTCTTGCACGGTGTTCCTAAGCTGACCACGACTGCTCCTCCAGAGCTCGAAGTTCCTCCAAGGTCGGAAGCTGCCATTCCATCTAAGCCGTCTTTGACAGCACAAAAGCCATCGGTGGACATACAACTGCAGGCAATAGCAGCAGTGCCGGAAGCGAGGCCAGCGCCACCTTCTCAAGTTGCAAAGCCAGCGGCAGTTTTTCAGCTTGCAAAGCCAGCGGCAGCAGCTACTCAGGTTGCAAAGCCGGCAGCTTCTCAGGTTGCGAAGCCAGCACCACCACCGCAAATAGCGAAGCCGGTTGTGAAGCCATCACCGCCAGCTCAAGTTGCGAAGCCAGCACCATCTCATGTTGATCGGTCCACTGGCTATACCCCGGCAGAGAATGTTGATCGATACACGAGAGAGCCTACTGGTTACACTCCGGCAGAGAATGGCAACGGTGTAGCAGGCAGATCGAGAAGCGTTGCAGCTGAGCCGGAAGAGAGCGCGGAGCCTGTGTCGAGTACGCACGAGGACGATGATCTTCTCATGACGACTTCAAGAGCAGAGAATGGCACTCGAGACCCGGAAGAACGTTGGGAAGAGTCTTCGCCTGGGTTTGATGTGCTCGTAGACGACGGGCCAGAGGAGTCGGAGTTCCTCCACGGGAACAATGACGAAACAGGCGATCGTTTCGACGACGACTACGAGTTTCAGTACTCCGAGATGTACAACCAGACTGGCGGATTCGAGTCGGGACCTCCACTATACGAGCGTGAAAGCTATGATCGCATCCGGCATGAGAACGGGAGGTTCGAGCAGGGGGAGTACACTGACTACGACGCTCCCTACGACCGGATGGACTTCGATCGTCCGCCGCTGCTGGACAACCCGGAGCGTGATTATTTCCGACAAACAAGACAAGTTCGGACACAGTCCATCAAGGAGAGGCTACGGTTCAACCATCAAGACCCACGGCCGTTTCTCGACAATGGTGATCTGCGAAACGTTCTCGAGCGGCGGCGGAGGCTGGATGTTTACCCGGGTCGAGAAGGCGATGACAGGTTTCCCAGGGAGTTTACAGACCGGGAGAGGCATCGCGACGACTTTTCCAGGGGTCGGGAGCGCGACAGGGCTCAGAACTACTTCCACCAGGCTAGACTTAACAGCAGCAGCGGCAGGAGATCATCGAGGGAGAGAAGTAACGAGCGCTTCCACCACCGGCATCCTCCTCCCGACGCTTTCATGTACAGGGGTGGTGGTCAGATCGATCGTAGGCCTGTGAAGGATGCATCTCCTCCGGGCTACGAGGCGAGGAACTTTGGCCTGGGCTTCAGCCGAAGAACAGGCGGGGAGGAGCCATCGGACTTCGCGGCACCGAAGAGCCTGGCTCAGATCCGGGCCGAGAAGAGGAAGCTCGACGGGGAGGAGGTGGCGATGGTGAGCTCCTCCAAGCGCAGCTACATCTCCAGGGAGTCGAAGTTCCATGGCGGCGAGCTCAACGGTGGCGGGGACGATGGTGATCAACACTTTGAAGGTCCCAAGCCGCTCCACGAGATTCTCAAGGACAAGCGCAGGGAGGAATTCTCGCAGCTCCGGCGCCATGACGAGAGCGTGATCGTGGCGAGCGATGAGCGAGAAGAGCGAGACAGCCGCGCCAATGGAGTGGCCAACCATCATGTACACGCTGACAAGATCACTACTACCACCGTGACTGCTCGAGAGGAGAGTGACGATGACGAAGACGATGACGACGACGATTTCGCGAAGAAGCTAGGCGGATACTTCTCGTAACTCTGATTTCTCTGATCGATCGAACAAAAAGGTCTGGATTGACACTTCGATGCGATCCTCTTCCTCTAATGGCTCTAAGCTAGCCACTGTTTTCTCAAGTTCCTGTTTAGACAGGACCCCGTCCTTGACGATGAACAGGCGGCTAGAAATCTTCCCGAGTTTTACCAGTGCTTGATGACAGTGGCTCCACTGGCAATCGCTCGCAAGTGCATATCTCGATCATGAATCCATCGGGGTCGTGGAAGAAGATCTGCTCCACTTCGATCCCTCGCTCCTGGACGATGCGTTTCTCGTATTTGATCCCAGCGTCTCCCAGCCTCTTCTGGACGAGAGCTAGATCCTCGCACTGGACAATGTGGATGGATTGTTACAAGAGAAGAGATTTTCTTTTTTTCTTTCGCGTACCTGGAAGGAGATGTGATCGTCGCGAGGATTGATTGAGTGTTCTTGCGGAGGCCCCGCATTTTCTTGCTGGAGCAAATGGATTCCAATACCATAGTTGTACAACCTGGACGATCAATCCGTAGCGAAAAAAATCGATAGCGCAATCGATACAGAGTGGGAAAAGAGGGAGGAGGGATGCTCTTACCAGGCGCCGCGGACCTCGAGAGCGTTCGGGCGCTTGACGGGCACGAACCCTAATACATCGACGTAGAACTTGAGCGATTCTTGGATGTCGCGGCAGTTGCGCGAGAGATGATTCACGGAGGAGAGCGGCAGCGGCTGTGGATTCTGGAGCGATTCCGCGCCGCCGCCGCCATGGGCGCTGCTCGCGTTTTGGATCATAGGAAACGAATGAAGGGAAACAAAAAGAGCGTACGCTTCCGGGCAGAGAGAAACCCAACGTTGATATAACAAGTGGCGGCGGAGATCCACGTGTCTGACACGTGTCCACTTACCGACTCATTGCTAGATTGTGATCTCCTTGCTGCTGCCGGGGTTTGAACCGGCGACCTTGTTGTCCTAGGGATTAGGGTTTGCGGGAAGAAGGGAAGAAATGGCGGTGCTGGTAGCGAAGAGGACGAGCGCGGATGTGGAGATGGCGCACGGCTTCAAGGAGCATGCGACATGGAGCCCCTACGAGAACAATGGCGGGTGAGTGATCTTGGATCGCGCTTTGCTTCCTGTGGCGAGATTATCACGGATTTTCGCAGGACTTGCGTCGCGATTGCTGGATCGGATTATTGCATCGTCGCAGCTGACACGAGATTGTCGCTTGGCTACAGCATACTGACCAGAGGCCATTCTAAGCTGTTTAAGCTGTAAGTTTTTCTTTAGTGACTTTGGAAACAAAATGTGATTTTTCTTTCCTGTCTTTCGCAGCTCAGACACTGCGGTCATGGCTTCCTCTGGCTTCCAGGCGGATGTGAGAACTCTGCAAAAGAATCTAGAAGCCCGGCAAAAGGTTCGATCCTCTTTGTTTCCGGATTTTCGCCTTAGACCGCTGTTTTTTATTTGCTTCTCTTGAAACAGGGTTACTACCATCAGCACGGGAAACCAATGTCTTGCCCAGCGATGGCGCAGCTCCTGTCGAACACCCTCTATTACAAACGCTTCTTTCCATACTACAGTTTCAACGTTCTTGGTGGTCTAGACACCGAAGGTACGTGTGGAAGAGAGCATCAAAGTCTAAATCTTTGTGGAGGCTTGTAGGCAAGGGATGCGTCTACACTTATGACGCTGTTGGTTCTTACGAGCGGACAGGATATAGTACCCAGGGAAGCGGTGCAGAGTTGATAATGCCGATTCTGGATAACCAGCTCAAGTCTGCCAGTCCTCTCCTTTATCCTCCAAGGGTGACAAATCCTTTGCGATTCATTCTTCTCTGTTGCTGACTGCCGGGAGCTTACAGGAAACGGCAACGCCCCTTACGGAACAAGAGGCTCTGGAAATTGTCAAGGACACTTTCGCTTCGGCTACCGAGCGCCAGATCTACACCGTTCGTATTGCTTTTTCTGTGTATCGAGCTTGAAACTCAACGCAAACGTGTGTGGTGTTGCAGGGAGATGGACTCGAGATTGTGGTCATCAACAAGGATGGAATACACAAGGAGTATTTAGACCTCAAGAAAGACTAGGCACTCTCTTTGCAGGAGCTATGTATAACTTCGATTCTTATGGACAATTGTTTCATTTCCTCTCGTTCTCTCTCATCAGATTGATCACACTGAAAGAAAAGTAAAATCTTATGATCGCAGCTCCATGTTGGGCAGCTGAGAAAATTGGTAGTGGTTTATACTAGTGCCTAAAGTGTCCCGTGCCTCTTAAGACTTCGTATCATTTTAGTAAGTCCATTGTTCATCTTATAAATGCCTTCTTCAAGACTATTTTATGAATGCGACAAGATCACTCGGGAGTGTTGACACATGCACTGGTCAATCCACCGTAATTCCTGAGTGTGAACTTCTCATGGTTTCTTTTGGAGAACTTCATTTCTCGGTTCCAATTCTCAGTACCTTTGATATCTTTCTATCGACTTTGTGAATGAATGTGGACCACCTTCCCTTTGAGAGCAATAAAATATAGTGCATAGAATTTTGCTGCCCATCTTGAATGTCAAGAAACCTTGAAACATAGTTTGAAACGCTTGTGCAAATCCGATATCATTTTACGATTCTAAAGATCAAATATACAAAATCTTTCACAGTTAATTAGAGCATTCTTTAAGGTAATCAATAAAAGTGCGTTTATTTTGAAATTAGTTTTTGCTAAGCTGGAAATTAATTTATCAGCCATTTTCATCTTCGTTATGAGAAAGTATACTAAACGCTTGACCGGATCCGTGTACAGTCTAT